CAGCGATTTTTGTATTTATTTACTTATTTATGGACTGTAATTTCATTTTCCGATAAAGTATTATACATAAGGATCATAGTCCTTTCTATTTTTCAGTTTTGGTAATTTGGCTGGGTTTGAAGAGCCCGCAACCTCATGCTTGCAATTTGGGTGCCTTCAACACGAGCTATCAACTTGAACCCCCGTTGTTTCAGACTTATAATTTTCAAATTTGCAGAAACAGGGGTCTCTTATTTTTGAGAGAAATATGCTTTTTCGAAAAAAAATTTATGTACAGTTCTGATCGATCACGATCATATGACCACATACACAAACAAGCACACAGGGCTTTTAATTTGAGAACCGCAAGATGCACATAGGGCGATCCAATTTCCATTCATAACCAGAGATATGAATCAGCCACTACTCTGCTTTGACAACACACAGAAATGGCTTGGCTTAAGAATCCCTTTACAAATTTTCCGTAGTAGTGAGGATTAAGTTTAGATAACACAGCTAAGTAATTACAGAGGGTGTTTTAGGTGCACATTGTCTACATGGGAGAGAAGCACCATGAAGATCCCGATGTTGTCCGGGACTTGCACCATAGCGTACTCACAACACTGCTCGGCAGGTGTGTCTTCAAATTGCCGACTTTGCCTTTGCCCAGATTTTTCTTTTTTTCTTGTTCCTTTTTGCAGTTCAGGGGTACGAATCGAACATAAAATGAACATAGAATTTAACTTGATAATATTTCCATGTAAAAGTTGTTACCGCTTAATATTTTTGTAGCGAAGAAGCAGCTCGGGAGTCAATGGTGTACAGCTACAGACATGGCTTTTCAGGCTTTGCTGCAAGGCTAACAGAAAATTAAGCAAAGATCCTTTCAGGTAAATAAGTGATGAAATAATTTTATTTAGGATCGTAGGAGAAAACGGAATTTATCAGTACTAACAGCAGTTATTATGTTTCACTTATAGTTTTAAAACTCGAACGAGCCAACTCGGACTCATCCGAGTAACTCGGCCTCGGCCATGGACCGAGGCAAGTTAGTTATACACAATATGTTTAAACTTTAAATATAACTCGCCTCGGCCAAGTCTCGAGTACCTTGGCTGACTCAATTTTTTTAACATTGGTTTCACTCTTAGGAACATAAATCAACAACAAGAATTTTATGAATTAAGAATATAAAGCCCATGTAAGATGTTCCAATGGCCATGGTGCCTTCATGTAGGTAAGGTTATCCCACATATACCATAAGACCCTGAATAAAAGGAAGTCATAATTACTTCTAGGCCTTACACACAAAGTTCAAGAATTATCTAGTCAATAACAATCTTACGACCGCCTGATTTGAAATCTGACGAACAAAAGTGTTTATGATCTCCTTGTATAAAAAGTAAATGATCTCTTCCGTATGTTTTTCCATCCCAATATATGAATGACATCTAGAGCATATACAAGCAATGATCATTTTCTTTGAACTTTCGTAAAAGGAAAATTTGGACTTTGTGTTCTTAAACACTTTGATATGACCATCGAAAATTATTGTTATTGTTATTGTTATTGTTATTGTTATTATTATTGTTGTTATTATTGAAATGGTACATGCATTTTAAATGTGAATGATGCAGGCTTTGAAGGTGTGATACATGTGATCCCAAACCACATATACGAGCTACACACAACTAGAAGCTGGGACTTCCTTGGCCTCAGCCCCAAGTTACTTTCAGCCCTTCTTCATAAGGCCAACTCAGGTGACGGATCATCGTAGGCGTTCTTGACACAGGCATGTGTTTATTCTTCTTCTTTTGTCCTTTTTTTTTTTTGGCGTCGATAAGATGGGAATTAAATCAATGATTCAAAAGTTCTTGATCCATCTCAAAATTGGGTGGGTTAGTTTTAAGACTTAAAATCCTTCTTGTTATATCCACTTTCCTATGAGTTTTTGAATTGCGCCCCACTATATAGTTTAAGATTGACACATACAAATCTTTTCTATTTTTCAATTCCAAAAATATAATAAAATATTGTAGAAATTTTTCTTATGAAAATAAATGAAAAATAAATTTATTGCACCCAAAAAAGAGATGATATAAGTGTGGGTGTTACTGATTAAAAAACTTAGGTCAATAACTACTTTCAAGCACGAGGATAGACTTTGACGTATCACTTTGACGTCTTTTGTGCCTATCCCAAACTTTCCCTTAATTATTTTAAATTTTCACATCTTTTTCCATTAGTATTATTTAATATTAATAATATGTCACCCCAAAATTAGAGACGAATAGTCTAACCTCAATAAAAGATACTATCTTTTACATCTTAATTAAAAAATGCATCAAGACTTTCACACGCCATGCATCGTGTGCTTACTAAGAAAGAGCCTAAACCCTTGAATCCTACCGTAAAAGTTCAGGTAACCATCAAGGACTAGAAAAGTTACAAGTTTAGTAAGAGATATTGAAAAATTCAGTGTAATATTGACATTTAGAAAAAGTTCTGTATATTTTATATTTTAAGCGGAAGTACCTCTTTATTTATTGTCATATTAACCCCAGTTTGGACGTCCAACATCCGAACCGGGTCAAGTGAAAGGCGACTTCGGTTGGATGTTTAGACCAATTAGTTTTTTGCATAAGCACTGAAATCAAGGGTTCAATATATTAACATTCTTTTGGCCAAAAAAAATAAATAAAAACGAGTCAAGTAAGTTCAGACATCCACTATATGAACTAGTGTTATACTAAAAATAGGACAAGTGACTTATTCTTTGTTTTTTTTTTCTTTTTTTGTGTGTGTTTTTTTAGCGTGGGTTGGATTGAATATTTGTCCAAACTGCAGAAAATTCTGGATGACCTCTCTTCAATCCAAAATTTGTATTCCTATTTTACCATAGATATTTCTCTATCAAATAAATTTCATTAGAAACTAGACTCATAATGGAAGTCTAAAAACCTAGTGTGAGCTATAAAAAATTCTGTTAAGAATATAAATAAAATCATGACTTCCAAGTCATGGAAATAGTTTTCATTGTAGAAAACAACACTTGTACACCCTACAATAAGTCACAATAAAACTTCAACGAGAAATAAAATCATATGATTGGTGGGAAAAATCACGCAACTCAATAGGCAGTTCCTGGATTTTGTAGGGTCAGAACTGACACCCTTCATCGTTGAGTTCATAACTCTCAATTCCCTTAGGATCTCCCATTAAAATTTTGCAGGAAGATCCTACTCTTAAAGACACACAATATCACTGAAGTATGTAATAGAAAAATACCTCATTATATTTTTCATATCATTACTCCTAAATAGCCCAGAATACCCATTATGCAGAGTGCCTTTCCGGTGTTGGAATATTTCAGTAATTCTTAACCGTGGATGTATTTCTTGACCACAAAAATCATTAGCTTTCTTATATCTCATTTTCAAACTTGATCTAAACTCAATAAAGAGAAAATATAACTAATGGCATCAAGTATCAATAGCTCTGATAGTAAAGAAAGAAAGACTTATGTGATCTTTTACCGGGGAATAATATATATATATATTAATTTTTTTTTTTTTAATTTCGCCTCTTTTGTTTTGGCAAAAGATCACTTACAAGTGGTCTTATTACAACAACATATACTTCAAAATAAAATCAACATAACAATAAAACCAAGATCTTAAAACTTGTTGGCATTAAAATAACTATGCACTATGCTTGATAATAAAAATAAGATTACAATAAATAAAT